ATCAACTTATAGAACAATTGGAATAATGGCAATCGGTCTGTACATGCCCGGTAGTGTGGGGTCCCCTGGTTTGTAAAAGCCGGTGATTGTGGTACCCTTTTCGCTGTTCAGCGGGGGGGGGGTCTGGCTAGGTTCGATGATGTCGTTGTAGTCGGAGCAGGTGGCGTTGAATAGTAGGCCCCCCAGCTTTGAGCATTTCTGCTGTGAGCCCCGCGGTGTCTATGCACTTGCCTTTCCTGAAATGCTTGACTGCTTGCTGGAGCTCGGTTGCGGTGAAAGGTGGGAAGGTGGGATGGCTGAGTCGTGCTGAATTGCCATTGGGGTATAGCGCGTGCTGTCTGAGTGGAGCGGGTTATTGTACAGCTCCTCGTAGAAGGTTGCAAATACGCCTGCTATGCTTTGCTTGAGTGCGTGCCTCCTCAATGCCACCACGTGTCCTCGTTGATGCAAGTTGCTCTTTGTGTTTCTGGTTTTCAAACAAATTATTCTCTTTAGACCTTCGAATTGGCAGACGATTATTTCAAGCTTGGCGTCCATCTCGTTGCGTTTGATGACCCTTGCCTGCCGCATGATTTGCTTGCTAAGGGATCTTCTGGTAGCTCTGTCCCTCGGTGAAATACAGCGTCGTCGTTCGATGAGTGCTTTGAGCCGTGCTGTCGGGCCGTCGCCGGGGATATGCGGAGGATCGCTGGTGCTTTGCTCCTGGTGCTCTTGATAGCCCTTGTTTGCAAGCTTGAGCCCTTCTCTCGGGGATGGACAGACCCCCCTTTAGTAAAACGTGGTTTAGTGAAAACGACCTGAGGCCCAAACCTGGCGGGCGCAAGCCTGGAAAATAACGGCCACGGCGCCCTCTCGAGAACCGAAAACGGACAATTCACGAATCGACGTGTCACTGTTGGGGGTTCTGTCCACCCCCGATTCTCCTATGTCCCGGCATCTGCTGTCGAAGTCGGCGTCGTGGTGCTGGTGTGCCAGATGCTGTCGTAGCACACTGCTTGAGGAGTGAGTCGTCCGCTGCAGGCTGGGGAGCGCCCGCGGCGGCGCGTTTGCGTGCGTCTCCTCGTCCTTCTCGCCGTGGTCCCGGAAGCCAGCTCAGTGTGCACTGCTTGACGGTCGGAGCCGAAGTCTGGGGCGTTGGAGACGAAGGACTCGGTCACTTGGTCACGACATTCTCTGCCTGCCAAAATGCAGTCAACGTGTGGATGAGTTGGCTGCTTGCCACTTCTTGTATAAGTACAAATGCTGTGGCAGTACCTGCAGAAGAAGGTATTTGCACTGTTCAGCTTACGCGTGCTTGTCCGAGCACAGAGCCATGTGCCTCGTGAGTTGAATACGCCCAATCCGAATTTGCCTACCGTGTTCCTCCGGCCACAAGTCTCTGTTCGTTCGTCGTCGTCTTTGCCACTGTCACTCTTGCCAAGATGTCTACCAACCTGTGCATGACAATCCCCCGTGATGATGCATGTCCGCTTGTCTTGGATGGCCGAGGTGCAAATTGCATCCAAATGGCCGTCCATGCGCTGTGTGTGAGCGTCCGCGTATGTGGAGTGAGGGTAATACGCCGTCACGACTTTCATGTTCTGTGCTGGAACGTCGATGTCGATGTAGGCGATCTTCTCGCTGAAAGCCTCGAAGCATCTGACATGCGGGACGTGGCTTTTCTACGAGAAATACAACACCACGTGACGTGTCTGAATGGCCAGATGCTGCAACAAAAATACTTGCCACACTTTGTGATCAGCTTCTCGCGGCATTCAGTTCTCCAGGTCTCGTCGATCGCAATAATATCCGAGTATCTGTCATTCAGTTCCTGCAACAGCTCGTCCATGTAATCGTTCGTTGTAAGACTTCGCACATTATTGTGGTCAAGAGTCAACGGTGAATGGTTGAAGTGGCGATGCATGTGATGCTGAGTTTGGCTGATCGTGCTCTTTCTCGTCGCCGACGTCGCTTTCCCGTTGGTGATTTCGGCACATGCTGATGGGAACGTCGTCATCGGCCGTGTCATGTTTACCTCGTCCTCCTCCAGTGATTCGTGAATTGGTCCGTGTATGTGGAAGTTTGTAGCCGGATGCCGGAGGCTGAAGGTCGGGATGCTGTGCTAGCGGTGGCTGGGGATCGATTGATTCGTGGAGGTGGAAATGGGAAGTGGGCTGCTGGAGGCTGGTGGTCGGAATGCTGAGCTGGTGGAGGCTGGAGGTCGATGGGTGCAGGTGGAGGTGGAAAATCTGATGCTGGAGGTCGGAGGTTGCTGTGCTGAGCTGGTAGACGCTAGAGGTCAGCAGGTGGAGGTGTTGTTCAATCATCGGTTGCTGGAGATTCGGGGTCGGAGGTGGAAGTGGAGGCGGAAAACCGGATGCTGGAAGTCCGGAGTCGGAATGTTGCGCTTGTGGGCGATGGGAGCCGACAGGTGGAGGTGGGGTTGGAGAGTCCGGGCGCTGGAGCGTGGAGGTCGGAGTGCTGAGCTGCTGGGCGCTTGAAGTCGACAGGTGGAGGTGGAGGTGGAAAATCGGATGCTGGATGTCCGGAGTCGGAATGTTGGGTTTGTGGGCGATGGAAGCCGACAGGCGGAGGCGGGGTTGGAGAGTCGGGCGCTGGAGCGTAGAGGTCGGAGTGCTGAGCTGCTGGACGCTTGAAGTCGACAGGTGGCGAAGGAGGTGGAAAGTCGCATGCTGGAAGTCCGGAGTCGGAATGTTGAGCTGGTGGGCGATGGAAGTCGACGGGCGGAGGCGGGGTTGGAGAGTCGGGCGCTAGAGCGTACGTAGAGGTCGGAGTGCTGAGCTGCTGGACGCTTGAAGCCGATGGGTGGCGGTGGAGGTGGAAAGTCGCATGGCTGGAAGTCTGGAGCCTGAATGTGGAGCTGTTGGGCGATGGAGGTCGACAGGTGGAGGTCGCAGCGCTGATCTGCTGGGCGCTGGGAGTCGATATGTGAAGGTGGAGATGGAGGTGGAAATCCAAATGCTTGAGGCTGGAGGTCGGAGTGCTGAGCTGGTGGACGCTGGAGGTCGATGGGTGGAGGCGGAGGTGGCAAGTCAGATGCTGGAGAGTGGAGGTCGGAGTGCTGAGTTGCTGGACGCTGGAAGTCGATAGGTGGAGGTGGAGGTCGAAAGCTGGGGGTCAAAGATTGGGAGCCGGTAGCTGGTGGTGGATGCTCCGAGCTGGAAGGTCGACAGTGGGCGCTGGGGTCGGAGCCAGGGTTGAGGGTAGGAGTCGGTATTATGATCATCTCCCTGGTGTGGTAGTCGGGCGGATTCCTCTGGCGACAGATTTCCCGAGAGCGAAGCAAGACACGTCGTAAACCGAAAGGCATATCTCCAGGAAGGGTAAAGTATGTGCCCCTACCTGCCCCTTCAGGCCCAGCCAGGGTAAGCAGTGGAAGTCTGGGGTTGGAGGTCGGATTTGGGAACAAGACTGGGAGAAACAATTGTCTTGAAGCCAGCGTCGCCCCTGTATCCGCCAGTGGCGAAAAACGCAAAGGGGCGCGGGTGACACCTGAGGTAGGGTTCTGTCCTGCGCCGTTCGTCATGGGATGGCTCCTTCGGGAGAGACGCCCTCCAATTGAGACATACCCCTTCCGACGTTCATGGGTCGGGGTGGGAGGGGTGGGGGATGGGGGAGGGGGAGGTGGATGGAGGAGGTGGATGGGGGGGAGGGGGAAGCGGGGCGAAGAGGGAGGGTGAGGGGAGGGTAGGAAGGAGAGAGATGAGTGACGAGAAGGGCAAAGAGGATGCCAACGACGAGACTGAAGGACGCCGCACTGCTCCCAGGGCATGGTGCCTCCTCTTCCTCCGCCGCATCGTGCTCCCCCCCTCGTTGTCCTCAACCCCTCACCCTCCCGACCCTGCTGCTGTGGCTGCTGCTTCTCCTCCGCAGAGCCCGCCGCAGGCCGTGTGCCTCTCTGGCACGTCCCCGACGGCACCTGCCGGACACGCCCAGAGGGGAAAAGGCGCTCCCAGCATCGAATCGAGACGTCGGATCGGCGATCGACATGAGTCGGATCGGCGGAACTCGGCAGCCGAGTCTGGAAAAGTCGAAGCGGCGGAAATCGGCAGGCTGGTGGGCCTCCATCGAGAAATCGGGGCCCAAATCGGAATCCCAAGTCGAATCTAATCGGAATCGGAGGCCATCGAACTCGAACCGGATCGAATCGGAGGAATCGAGACGAACCCTGGGGGGGGGGGGGGGAAGTGGTCGGACGGAGAGCATGGCGCCGCTTCCTCCCTACCAGAGAAGAGAATCAATAGGTACGGCAGGTTCGTGTCTTGACAACTCGTGCGCTCGTTTCTGACTACCTACCAGACCACCCCAACCCAACCCGAAGACCCGACTTTCGGGTTGGGGGGGGTACGGGTTCCATATGTGTTTTCTCGATGTTCCCCGACCCCCCCCCACTGGAAATGGAGGGCAAATTGAGGCCTTCGGGTTGGGTTGGGGTAATTTGGTGGGTGGTGAGTTTCTCCGTCGCCGCGTGGACCACTCCACCCTTGAGCGAGCGCGGCCCTCCGACAGCTCGGGTGCTGCCGGTGAGGTGCCCCATGGCCCAGAGGGTCCACGAAGTGCCCCCCCAGGATGCCCCCCCAGCTTCCAGAACACTGAAGGCGCCCAGGGACACGCACATAAATACACACACGCGCAAATTTCCCAGGATCCCCCATACTTCGAATGTCTTGTTGGGGTTGTCGTCTTCCCCCCCGCTCCCAATAGGTTCCTATATCTTCCTGGGAATCGCCGAATCGTTGTCTCTGTGTGTTGTCTTCCCTCCCGAAACACCCCTCACGAGGCCCCAGGGGCCCCAAACTGAGGCGAAAACCTGGGCACAGCGCGGACCGTCGGATATCGGCCGATTCCGGGGCACTGGCCGCGGTCAACCTTGACCCGCCCGCGCCAGGGTCGCCGCTGCGTCGACACGGCACGAACCGATCCTGTAGATGCAGAGCGGGCCGGCACCTCGGCCACTGCCTGGCTTTAGGCTTGCCGGGATCTCCCGGACTCGCACGGGCTCAGCGGGGTGGAGGAGCGGGAGAGGGCACGCGGTACGGAACGAAGAGGACGCAGGAGCCCCGCCTGCTGCCCGCGTGGTGGCTTTCAAATGGCACCTGGAGCCCAAGGCGCGCCTCGCCAGAAACCAGCAGCAACAAAAACACGGTCAATAGGTGGCGGCATCCGATCCTGCCATCACAACACATCGATCCTCCCGAATCGATGTAAAGGCGACGGTAGGGCTCGGATCTCGCCACGTGTTCGACCACTACCTGGAGAAACCAAAAGGTACCGATCCCGCTACTTCCCGGAAGTCTCCTGGGGCGCGTTCTGACCAGGATGGCGACGCGAACCCAGCGGTGGCGACGAGGGCTCCAGAGGAGGCCCAAACAGGGGAGAACGAGGAGAGGGCAGAGGTATGGGTACCTCTTCCTCCTCTGACTAACCCCGCCGCCCCTCGAGGTGCCCGAGGCGTGGATCGGCGAGGGCACGCCTCGGATTGCTCGCCGCCGAGAGTCACGGTCCTCATCGCGCTGCTGCCCTCGAGGTGTTGGGCCGGCCGGGGGGGCCCCCGCGATAGGCGCGAGGCGGCCACACCAGCGGAGGCTTCTGCCCGGGGGCGCGCAGCGAGCCGTGGATTTGGCGCACGGTCGCCAAGGCCACGGATCGGGGCAGGTGCTCTCCCCAAAATGCGGCCGGTGCCGCCTCGCTCCACGGGGGGAGTCCGCGATTTCCAGATGGAAGGCTAGTCCACGCCCCCTTGATCCATGTTTGCGATCGCCTGATTCTGGGTAGCCGGGCTGATCTTAGGTCGGGTATGTCCCCCTACAGGCATCCGGGTGGTGCCACAAGTGGTCCTGGCACACGGTGCTCCCGATGCCTTGCGTCATTCGGGGGGCCTCTGGGGCCCTCTGGGCCTGCGTCCGTTTTGCCGTCTGCGCCTCCCCCTCGGGCCAGGTCCGCTCCTGACAACACCCGACCGATGGTAGTGTTATTAGGTCGGGCGTGTCCCTCTAAAGGCGGCTGCTGGGAAGAAGCAGGAAACATAGTCGAACAGATACTCCAGCATATTTATTTCTTGATACTCGAAGATCGCCCCCTGATTACTTCCTGACTCTTCTTGGGTCTTCCTCCTGTAGACAGACAGGCCCGACAACAGGCTCATCTCGGGCAGGGCAGGCCGGCCCTCCCCCCTGCCCGGGATGGGGGGGGCGCTGGCCACAAGCCTTCGAGGCCCCGCTGCGGCACCGCCCGCACCTGGACGATCTCAGAACCGCTGGGGGCGTTTCTCTTCTCCTTTCCAGCAACTTTTTGGCGGACCGAGCAAACATGCTTGGCACCGGACCGTGCTTTCTGGGGGGGGGCGTTTCTCTTTCCTTTTCTACATTTGCTTTGGGGACCGAGCAAGCACGCCTGGCACCGAACCCTTTATCATTATGCGAGAGCGAACAATGGTTTGGGGGACCGAACCATTCGTTCTGTTCGGTCCCCCAAAATCTTTGTTCGGCCCCGGCGACACAACCCGAAGGGAGGTGCGCAAGATGCCTGCATGAATCCACATGCAGTCGGACCTCGCAACATGAACGGCGGCACAGGCCCGCCCCAAGCGTCACATCTGCGCTGCGGTTGCGAGGTGCCCCGAGATGCCACCCCGAGACACGGCCACCGGCACCACCGGCACCAACCCGCGGAGACCCCGCTGCCCAAGGACTTAAGTTCCTGCGTGGGGGGCGCGGGCATGTTCTTCCCGTTTGGGGCGCCGCTGGCACGTTCGGGTCCGCGCTCGGCCCGTGGCCCACCTCTGCGCGCTCTATTCTGCACCGCTCCGTGCGTGTACACTTCAGGCATCGCAGTGCCACCTGCCCGAGGTCCACATTCCAGGGTGGTGGGCTTGTTGTCCACCGCCGCCACCAAACGTAGGAGGGGGAGGGGCTCCTCCTCCTCCTCCTCCTCCCCCTCCTCCTCGTCCTTCCCCTCATCCTCCACCTCCATCCCCCCTCCAACTTATGGTGGTAGTGGAAAACATGCCCATCACAGGGGGTCGTTTTTAGAGCGGCTTGGTCAAGTCAAGAACGACCCGTGGAACAGGGCACAAAAAAACGCCCCCAAGGCTTTCAAGAACCACTGGGCGCTCGCACCCCCCGTGATTCCACCGGGCAGCAAAGGTCTGTTGGAGCAAGGCGAGTGGGGGAGAGGAGAGGAGGGGCCATGCGCATGGACAGCTTCTGGTCAATCAAATTCCAGATGCTCCTGTATACAGCGCGCGCCGCAAAGCCAGTGGGTGGTTTAACATCAATGGCATACAAGATCCACATCAGTGTGGGCCTCTGGAGGCTCAGCGCATGAAACAGCGAGCACCCCGCCTGCGCGAAGGCAGCCTGTACTGCACGCACGCAAGCTCGAGCTTGTTGGAATGGCTGCTCCGCCGAATAAACTTTACCGTTGCTCCTCATCAACTGAAATCACTCTTTTTCTCGGAATACATACATCCCCCATAGAAACGCCAGCTGCTACTTCCTGCATGGCAAATGAATCAATTTTCATGAACAGACGGATGAAATGTATTGTCATACCTGGGTATAGTGGTAATCCACGGTGATCGGCCTTCCACTAACTGACGTGTTGTGGATCTCGTTGTACGCGCGCTCCGCTTCGCTCGCGCTGCCGAACTCGACGACGCCCATCCCCTTGGACTTCCCGTCCGGCGTGGTGAACAGCATGAAAGTCTTGATCTCCCCGACTCTTTCAAACCTTGGGGGGCGGCACGGACGGCGAGGAGGAGAGGCAGGAGGGGACAACAGGCGGAGGAGCTTCCTGGATGCCCCTGAAGGGCCACGGGCTGACGAAACCCCGACCCAAAATTTCGTGGAGGTGGAGGTGGACGGAGAGGAGGAAAGGCAGGAGAGGACAGCAGGAGGAGGAGTCTCCTGGATGCCCCTAAAAGGGCCACGGGCTGACGAAACCCCGACCCAAAACGTCGTCGTGGAGGCGGAGGTGGGCGGGGAGATGCTCCTGGAGGCTGCCACAGGACGGCTCTGCAAGACAGGCGTTCTCGGATGCCCTCGTCCCTGGATTTCGGAGGGTCCCCAGAGGCAGGATGTGGGGGGGGGAGGGTCAAGGAGGAGGAGGAGGAGGAGGAGGAGGAGATGCAAACGAGGAGGAATGCGGTGAGGGAGGATGGTCTGAGAACGGTAGATGGTGAGGGTCGAACCTTGATGTGTCCTGACGTGCTTCATTTTATCATGTTGACATACAGAGGTCTGTATCCCCGAGTTCATTTCCGCTTCTGAGCGGCCTGGTTTTGTCGGGGGAACCTCGGGGGCTGGGAGCGAGGACTCACCTGCGACCTGTAAGAGCGCCGCCGTCATTCCCACCCACCCACTCTCTGTCTCACCCGTGTCCCCGGGGTTTACCAAAAAGGTGTCCCTGGACCAAGGTGTTTCCCTAGCGTTTCGCTTCGTTTTGGAGCCCCTGGGGCCCGCTGGGCGTTATCAGGGGTGCTCAGCCGTCTGGAGCCCGTGGGGGCCTCCTGGGAAATTCTGGGGACTCTTGGGCCAAAGACTCGGATGCTGCTAGAAGCACCCTGGCCCAAGGTGCCCCCAGGATCTCCCAAGTAGGGCCCATGGGGTCCAAGATCGAGCGAAAAGCCAGGGGCACCTGGGGCCAAGGGCACCTGTCGGCTACACGCAGGAGTGACCTTGGGTAAAAGTGACCTTTGGTGCGCGGCTTTTGGGAGGCCGCGGGGGGACCAAACACAAGCGCGCAAGACGCTACGATCGCATCACGTTCGGCGATCGGGGGACCTGGTGGGCCCGCTCCAAAGGTCACTCGGGCGAAGGGTCGCTCTTACGCGTAGTCGACCTTCTGGCAACCCTCAAGTAGGGCATGCCCCTCTACAGGAGGAGTGTTCAAAAATAGTAAAGAAGAATCGTCTGGGGACGATTTGTCGACTATCCTTGACCGTGTTCGACTCTGTTTTGAGCACTCCTAAAATCTCTCGTCCGAAACCCGCCTGCAGGAGGACACGCCCGACCTTCTGGCAACCCCCGAAGGAGTCCTTCGGGGAGGCCCAGAATCTCCAGAAGGCCCTCTCAAGGGGTCGCGGCCGGCAATCCCTCCAAACCCAAGGCTTCACGCTCGAGCCCGAACTGGACCTCCCCTCCGAGCCTGCCGGACGCCCGCCTCCTCCGCGGAGGCAGCTCTTCGCCTCCCGTGCCCGCCCCGCGCTCGCCTCGCGAGGGGTGCCCGGAGGGCCTCCGGCGGTCTCCCGCCCGGGGGTCTCCAGAGGTCCTTCCGGTAGGGGGCCACATGCGAAGCCTACCCCTACCCCCCACGATTTCTGAGGGGGAGGGTAGGGCTCACTCCGCTCGGGAACTCCCGAGCGGAGTGAACCCCACCCTCCCGCTCAGAACTCGTGGGGGGTAGGGGTAGGCTTCGCATGTGGCCCCCCACCGAGGCCATCAGGAGCTGATCTGGTGCGAACAGCTGCCCCTGCAGGGGCAAGGGGCCAGAACAGCCACCGAGGCCATCAAAAGCTGATCTGGTGCGAACAGCTGCCCCTGCAGGGGCAAAGGGGCCAGGACAGTGGGGTACAAGCACGTCCCGAAGACATCGGGGCCCCGGCGGCCGCTGCAGAGCGTCCCGGGGAGAGCTCTGGGACCGTCTGCTCTTGTCTGCCCAGCCTGCCTGACATCTCCTGGCGGCACTCATACGTCCCTGCTCCTCCATAAGGTGTTGCTTCTCCTCATCTCGTCTCATTCTCGTGGCCACTGGGCGGTTCCGTTGCTGGCACAAGATGGGGGGGTAACGGAGAGGGAGGAGGAGCGAGTAAGTAGGAAGCAACAATGACGGTGTAAGCGGGAGAAACGAGGACTGGAATGTGAAAGGAGGATTCGTTGTGGAAGGAAAGAAGAATGATAGGAAGGAGGGTGTGCAGAACGGGGGAACGAGAAGTAAGGCAGGGAATGGGCGGAGGAGGCAAAGTCGCATACACCATGGCGCCCAGAAGCGGCGTCCAACGCCCCCCCTTTTAAGAATAAAGGAAGATCCGGCCACCTACCTCTGCCCGCGCCCTCCAACAGCATACGTAGCACCCCGCAGTTGCAGATAAGAGTGGAGAGCGGCGGGGACGTCGGCAGTCTGCGAGGCTCTGTTGGAGCCCGCCGCAGGTGCCCAATGTTATATATAATATAACGAGCCCGCCGCTGGCGCCGATTTTTTCGTTAAAGCAATGTGGGTGGGTCGCAGGTGGGTCGCGAGGAGGGTCGCGGGCCGTGTCGCGGGTGGGTCGCAGGTGGGACGCGGGTGGGTCGCGGGTGGGTCGCGGGCGGGTCGCGGGTTGGGTCGCGGGGCCGGTCGCGAGTGGGGCGGGTCGCGGGTTGGGTCGCGAGCCGACTCGCGGGTGGGACGACGACAGCAAACAACAAACAGCAAACAACAAACAACGCAACAACGCAACAACAACAAGAACAGCAGCAGCAACAGGAGCAACAACAGCAACAACCACAACTAGCATTTTAAGACTGGTCGCGCTTATCTGCTCGCGTGCCATTCAACCCGCATATCTCAAGCCCTCGATACTCGCCCTCTTCGTCTTCGATCGTACCCCCTGGGGGTAGATCTTTCATACCTGCAACGTCTATGTCATGCAGCCCCTAAGGCAGGGGTCGAGAGGACGGATGGAACGAAGGGACAAGGGGGAGGGAGGAGGATGGAGCACGAGAGAGAGTAGCAGGAGGGGGGCTGCGAGCAGTTAAATCGTGGCAGAACCAGACAGGCAGATCGGGCGGTTGGACCCCAATAGGCGGGTCGAGGAGGCGTGCCCAGGCGGCCAGGTCGAGCAGGCGGGCTGCTGAAGCGTGCGTCCTGCATGAATCGCGAATCTCGAGCGATAACGCGATTCCCAAGCAAGTCGTGAGATAGGCCAAAGCGAGAGAGTGATTCCTAAGTGTCGACGGCGCGGCCTCTGAATAAATTGCGGAGTATTCCCACGCGAGAGCGCGAGTTGCGAACAAGCTGTGAGGAAGTCTCAGGCGGGAGCAGTTGTTGTTGTAACTCGGGGGCCAGGGGCCCACTTTGGTGATCCCTCGCTTTCCCTGGTAAAAAACCAGGTGCGAGCCCCGGCCGGGAAGGGCACTTCAAATAAAAAACGATGTGCCCCAGAGGGGGGATCAACAATACTTAGTTTCAAGTGACGAGTTCAACAACATCATCATCACCAACAACGACAATCATCTCAAGACTGCTCGCTCGTACCTGCATGCCTGTCATTTAACACGATTATCCCACACCCTCGATACCCACCCTCTTCGTCTTCGATCGCACCCCCTTTGTGGGGTGATATTTCTACCCTGCCCCGTGTAATCAGAGAAACTCCTCAACCGGAAAACGAAAAGGAAACGAGAAGTGGAGATAATGACAAAAAGATCGGAGGAAGAGAGGGAGGTGGGGAGGGCCGGAAGGGAGAGATTACGATGCTTCGGCACAGTAAGTTGACATTCAGCTTGTGCCATGGTTTGCGCCAGCCTTTCTGACACAAGTTAGCAATCTGGCACCGTGCCTCTGGACAAAGAGTGGGCGTGTCCGCAGGTCCTTTGCCTCGTCCCCTAAGCCTCAGTCCTCGGTCCTGAGGAGCCTTTTAGGCTAAAAGTTGGGGGCCAGGACCCGAAATTCTCAGATCCGCCAGGGCTTCCCGCGGTTCCCGTGGGCTCCCCCGCGCGTTGTGGCATGAGCTTCCCGAGTGTGCCCCAAAGGGCCCCAAAACTAGCCCAGAGGGCCTGCAGAGGCGCGCGGGGAGACGCGATGGTGCCCTCAGAGGGCCACTACTAGTATTACTACTACTACTATTACTACTGCTACTACTACTACTGCTACTACTACTACTACTACTACTACTACTACTACTACTACTACTACTACTACTACTACTACTACTACTACTACTACGACTACTACTACTACTACTACTACTACTACTACTACTACTACTACTACTACTACTACTACTACTACTACTACTACTACTACTACTACTACTACTACTACTACTACTACTACTACTACTACTACTACTACTACTACTACTACTACTACTACTACTGCTACTACTACTACTACTACTACTACTACTACTACTACTACTACTACTACTACTACTACTACTACGACTACTACTACTACTACTACGACTACTACTACTACTACTACTACTACTACTACTACTACTAACTACTACTACTACTACTACTACTACTACTACTACTACTACTACTACTACTACTACTACTTACTACTACTACTACTACTACTACTACTACTACTACTACTACTACTACTACTACTACTACTACTACTACTACTACTACTACTACTACTACTACTACTACTACTACTACTACTACTACTACGACTACTACTACTACGACTACGACTACTACTACTACTACTACTACTACTACTACTACTACTACTACTACCTACTACCTACTACCTGCTACCTACTACCTACTACCTACTACCTACTACTACGACTACTACGGCTACTACGACTACTACGACTACTACTGCTACTACTACTACTACTACCACTACTCCTACTACTACTGCCACTACCACTACCCCTACCCCTACCACTACCACTACAATTACTACGACTACTACTACTACTACTACTACTACTACTGCTACTACTATTACTACTACTACTACTGCTACTACGACTACTACGACTACTACGGCTACTACGACTACTA